GGATTCTATTAAGATTAAGAATTTTATTGAAGTTGAGATCTATTAGTTGAAGTCAAGATTGACATTGACATTAAGATTAACTGATTTTTCTTTAGCACATAAACTTTGAACCTATTTTGGTTGTCTTGGTTCTGCAATCTCTTCTTTTTTATATCTTTACATATCTTGTAATATCCAACTATTGTCAAGAAAGTCTTTGTTAAGATCAAAGTAGTCCATTGATACAATTTTCTTAAGATAGAACTTTAACTTATATTTGATAAAATTTAACTTATAGCAGTTCACTTGCTTGTTTACATCATGGCCTTAGATCTAAAGCTTTTCCAATCTTGAGTTGAAAACATAACGGTCTTTATAAATCCTTTCTTATGTCATTTTATAAGCTAAGATTTAGAAATTATCTACAAATGAAGTAGCAAAAAAGAACATTATAAAATCTTAATTGTTGTTACTATTTAGATGGTTATAAAATAAGAATATAGTTATTTAAAGTTTTTTTTATAGTTTTAAAAAAAATCTTATTATTTAGTCTTAGTACATCTATTTTTTTAACTACTTTAAGGCAACTTTACCTCCTTGTCTTATTCAATATATGTTTAATACTTAAGTAGCTAACCACCTTGTCTATATATACTAAGCATTTTTAACTTCTATTTTTTAATCTTTTTATATTAATATTTTTTTTCTTCTTATGATTCTTTTTACACAAACTCTTTTCTTCTTATTATAATTCCTTTTATATCAAGTCTTCTTCTTCCTCTTAGTCTTTTAACTCTATTAATTACTTTTTTTTTTTTTTTTTTTTTTTTTCTTTCTTTCTTTCTTTCTTAGACTTTGTTCATACTATGTCTTTTTTCATTATTCTCTGCAAGAGGTGTAGAATTTATTTTTTCATTTTTAGAAATTAGAATTATGAATTTAAAATTAAGAATTATAAATTTTTAGAGAGTAATCTAAAGTTATTAACATTTTTGCATTACAACACAATTATATAGTAAAATTAATAATAATAATAATAATAATAATTAATACTCTATCATTTTAGTTCAACAAGAATTTAAGAGATTAAAACCAGACTTTATAAAAATCTCTTATTATTCTCTTATTAATTACTTTCTTAATAACTATTATATTAAAATTAATTAAAAAAAAATCCTTTAAGATTATATTTTGATTTTAAATGCTTCTACTATCTTAGAAAGGCTATAAAATGGTAAAAGTGATGTAGATAAATAATTAATATGACTGATACTAAAGTAAAGTTGAATGATCCTAAAGTTGGTTGAATTGATACTCAAGAAACATTTTTTTTGTGAATTATAATCAAAATCAGATCTCTAGCTACTAAATTTGTTGATTAGGAAAAAATATTGGAAGCATTTGGAGATTGGCATATAGAATAGATAAATTAACTTTAAATTTATTAAAAAGGCAAAAGATTCATTTCATTTGATTTTCAAATGACTTTAAAAGAACTATTGAAAGTCAAGGTTTATATTAGCAATTAGGATTTCATATAATAAAATTAGAATTATCATTTTTAGTAAGTTTATATATTATAAGTAATATCTACAATTGGAATTTCTTTAATGTATAACTAATTGAGTCTAGTGAATGTGTATAAATAATTCATGCTATTGTGATAGTACAAATAAAAGATATCTAATCACAAGTACAAGGAGGTACTTGACTAAAGGTATTTTAGAATTAGTGAAGATTTTTTGTAATATCCAAAGATATTTTACTTAGAATAAAATAAAACTTAGTACATAATTAAAAGCTTTAATGATAAAGCTACATAAAAAATTTGAGCTGAAGTTATTAATTGAAGAAAAAGAAATTATTATTGGAACTTCTTCTTTAATTCTCAAGTTGGTGGCCAAGGGACATCAATATGGTATTTTGGCCTTTGTTACAAAAAAAATTATGTTAGATTGAAATGAATGTTTTTAAGTGTATGAATGATTTATAGTGGTACAAGTGTAAAACATTCTACACCACTTGAACAATCAAATTGAGATCTATGCCTTGCTAAAATATGTTGGCTAAAATTAGGATTTATAGAAAAAAATTGAAATTAGAAAAGAACTAAAGTAGCAAAGTAATAGAACTTATACATACTTGTATTTATTAAGAGGAGTGTTTTTGAGCATATGATATTTGTATTACAATAACTTGAATCAAAATTAGATAAAATTATTTTTTATTAATCAAAACCTATTAAATTTTCTTAGATAGTTGCAAAATTTAACTTTACCTTCTATAGCCAAGTATTTAATGCACTTTTAAACAAAACAACATATAATAGGATAATATACAATTGCTTAAGTAATAAATTAATATAATAAATTTGCTTTTAGTATTTTCAAAAATAAATCATTAATATTATCTTCTAAATCACATTAAAATTAAACAATAAAAGCCTTATTTTTCTAATCTATATCATAAGCAAGATGTTAGAATTTAATAATATAGATAATAGTTGAATGTGACTTTTATTATTAAGATTAGAGTTTTATTTTTGCTACTATTTTCTACAATCTTTCTCTTTAAATGTGACCACAAATACTTCTAAAAAAAACTAACTTTACACAAAAAAAAATTAAATCTTTATATAATAAAGGTACATATCAAAAAAGAGTATTTTTAGATAAAATTGTACTTATAAAGCATACTTAAGTGGTTCTATTAAATTGTAGAGAAAGATAAAACTTAGTAGAAATCCTATCTCATTGTAGAAATCTTCAAAATTTTAATCTTGTTCCATCACATTTCTTTGACATATTAATATTTAGCTCCTTTATATTTGTGAAGTTGATATATTTGTACTTGTTTCTTTCAATTGCATAACTTCTACACATTAATTTTTGAACCATATTGTCAATCTCTTGTATAGATGTAATAATAGTATTTCTTTGGTTGACATTGCTAATATATAATTTTTTTTAAAATATTATTAATAAACTTGTAAAGATATGAAATGGTTAAAATTCTATTTTTAATAATATTAACTATAGCATTCATAATTTATTTCTCTTCCATCTAAATAAATACTATTATAAATATATAAATTATATTAGAAGAAGATAGTTTGTAATCTTCAATACAAATATAATTTTCTATAAAAAAAATATAGTCTACCATCTTGAAAGGAGAATATAGGTAAATTTTAAAAAATCAAAATAATGATTTAAAGATAGATTATTAATAATATTAAAAAAATATTAAAAAAATATCATTTCTCAAGAAATAGAATAATTTATTTGTTTCTTAAATAAAAATATATAATGAGTTGGTACTTTTATTAATATATCCAAGGCATAAATTATAATATAATCTTGAAAAGACAATATACTCTTATATCATTGAAAGAAAGAAGAAAAAAAATGGATATAAGATAGAAAGAAATTTAATAGCCATTATCAATTTTTTAAGAATCTAAGGTATCTTAAATAAGATAAGAATACAAGAAAAGTGTTGATATTACTAAAAGATGGCCTCAAATAGGCCTCTATGTGTCGTAGATAAAAAGATAGTATAAGATGATTTTTGATTCTAAAGCAAAGATTTTTTTTTTCTAATTTTGATTTCCTAAACTATTTTTTTTTATAACTTTTTTTTATTAATTTTACTTATTTTCATTACTCTTCTAAATTTTTCTCTCAAATTCTAGTATTTTTTTTGCAATTGGTTGCCTTAGCTAAGAAATATTCTTATTATTTTAGCTTAGTTTTAATTGTAATGATAGCTAGATCTTATTATTCTTGTGCATATAGAATTTAATACAATGAAATGCACCATTTTTATTAATTATGTAAAAATTAAAAGTTATTGCTTCTTTTTCAATAAAATCACTTAGATATGTAAATTTAAAAATATATTTCCTTCGATATAAGCTTCTTGGTTTTATCATTTCAATAAACTAAATAATGTTATTATTATTCTTATTAATATTATATAAAATATTTTTAGATTAATAATATCTTATTAAAATTATTAAATATAATTATAAAAAAATAATAGAATTAACTAAAATTCTTAAATTCTAAGATCAAATATCAATTAGGTTATGACATGTTTTTCAAAACTCTTATTTAAAAACAATTAGCCTATAAATGCAAGTTTCATTTAGATTTAGATAATTTCTATAGTAGAATTTTGTTTGTTTCAAGAAATCTACTTAAAATTATTATTCTTAACTTGCAATATATTTTTAATGTTCTATAATACTTAATGTTGAGTCATTACAATTAAATTTTTTACAGCATTTTACAACTGATAAAATTAACATATCAATTCGGTTATTAATTTTTTAGGATTAAAATCCAAGCTGGTAATTATGTCAAATTTGTTAGAAATAAAAATTACTATTAAAAATACATATTATATAAAAAAATACAATTTAATTATGATATGCGTAGATAAAATAACATTAAAAAAATAAGTATATTTATATTTAATCTATAATATAAATAAAACTAAAAAAATCAATAATGGTACAGATTGTTCTTATAAAAAAATTTATTATCTGAAGATCAATATGTATTTTTGAATTTTATTGCAGTCTTTTACAATGAGTACTAAAGAAATTCAGAAAATATATATTAAAAAATTATATGTTTTTTCTGAAAAAATGAATTGGTATACATAAAATTAGTTCTGACCACACACAGAATTTTTTGTAGTGTATTTAAAACTAACTACAAATACATCTCAAAAGTCACTTTAATTTTTAACATGGCGGTTAAGTCACTTCTCCTTTTAAATCTCTAGTTTATTTAGTAGAGGGAATTAAAGGCTGTTAGAATAAATATCAGTACATGATGGTTAAAATGAAGAGAACTAGTATTTTTAGTAAATTTTATCTAGCACATAGTTAGTAAGAGTTGTCACAAAAATTTCACAACAATGTAAGCATCCTTCAAAGCTCATCTGCGCTCAATATCTGATGAGGTATTATGTTATCAATGAGAATATTGTAAACAGAACCCTCTGCGTTCGCGTTATCGGCCAAATTAACAATACAGAAGGAAGCTCTGAAACTGCGACACAAATTCACTTCTTTCTCTTCGGTGCAGAGTCAGTTCTACAATAGTTCGGCCATCTTCCTGCTCAAGATGACTACCGACACAACGATCCTGTCGGTCTAGACATAAACTCCACGAATCAGCCTGATCTGAAATATGGGTCACTATTTAGGATCTTGTTTGAATCGACCCTGAAAGTAGAATATTGCATCAGAACGACAAGTAAGTGCATTTGGACCAAGTTTAGAATGTTCAGTCTTCGTTCATCGGCACTGGCATCGCCGATTGTAACACAAAACATTTTGGCATGGAATTGTAGATCGACCACATAATCTCATGTTACTCCATGCTCCAACCCAAGCATCATGCATAAGAACCTGGAAAAGTTCTGAGCTGGAACAGAAAAGATATGAGGAGCTACGATCAATTGCTTGTGATCCTTCATATCTCGTAGTGCGTCAACTGAGACAGTATTGTCCAACAGTAGAAACGTCACACACATTTTTAGTTGATCGATTTCTTAGGAACCGATTCGAAAAGTTACGTAGTCGATGTAAGGACTGAATTCTGAAATGTCCTGACTAAATTTTCTGTTACCTTTTGGTGGGACTTGTCTGCAGGGTTCTAAATCAAGGTTGACCAGCATGATATGGCTGTTGATGTTCTCCATCAAAGCTTGTTTCCACGATGCTGTTCTTGCGCTCTGTTACGGTCGCTCGAAGATACTCGGGAATTAAGTGTGCCTATCCTGGAAAGCTGAGCAAAGTCGCTCTCCGCCAGAGAACCTGTTTCATTGATTCTGGTGCATGTGTAGTGAAATATGTTGTCGATGACACTCAGTGAAGTGTTCTGATACTCCAATTCATAACAAAAAATTGGTGTAAATAAAATCAATAATAGTAGCACTAACAATAAAATCTTCATGCAAATCTTCAGAGTGGAAATCGGAACGTTGGCAGGGTGAGATCAGAAATTCTAATCAGAAAGTGGTAATGAATCTGGGGTGTTGGTTCAGCCTTGTTGCACGATCCTTGAAGTTCGTGGCACACTTTGAAGCTATTGCCTTCGGTTCACATATCGTCGAGGACTAGATGATCTAACAGTACCATCGAACACGAAGCTCGGTATTCATCTGGTGTTGTAAAACACTAGTAAGCTGATTGAAATCAGTGTATGGCGCAGAAGTCTTGATTTCACAAATAATATTTTCTGCGCTCATGTCAATAAAAACGTTGATGTTATCTATCACGACCCCATTCCCCTTAAAGTATTAGTTTGTGTACAATGAAAAACACACGACAATGGATGCCAGATTGTGGGAAAGTTACCAAAACCTCTGCATAAGTCGCTGATTTTGCTGAAGTTCTCAGCGTACGGCGAAGAATCCGATAAGCGTAGTTTGTATATGATTGAAGCTGCCATCTGGTCCAACGAAACATGCTAACAGTTAAGGTCTGGCGATGACGCATACAAGGTCTCCGAAAGTCAACACACATAGCGGATGGCGAGAAATATAACCAAGGACGATAAGGTCACTGGGCCTCGAGAAATGAAACAGAAAATAAAACAGAGAAAATGTACGTCCTTTCACTTCCAACATCACAAAAGCAATTCCCAAAGGTCTGAAGACTAGTATCCTAGACCCTACTGAATAACAGCCAGATCATATCCTAGACCCTACTGAATAACAGCCAGATCATAGCACAATGCAGTATGCCAGGGTGGGGGTAGACCAGGATTGTGACAGGCTGAAACCGAACAAACCAAAACGATCGTACTGGTAGAGATGGGCATCATTCCTGCGAGACGCACCATGACACGGATCCAATTCAATACTTGAATGCAGTTAGCCTACCGAAAAGGGTGACATGGCAAGAAAAGGGTGTTTCCCATGGATCGGAAGAAAAGACCAAGGTCGGATAAAGTTTGAACGAGACTCAAAGTGCAGGCGATGCAAAGCACATTCTGCGCCATCAACACCACGGGGATCGCGTGAAGCTCGCAATCGGCCAATGGCCCCAAGGCGCTACAGGAGGAAGCCAAGAGGGTGCTTCAGCAGGGGTCCAATATCGACGAACGCCAAGTACAGGGACAAGCGACTGAACATAAACCCGAGGGCCTTGCCAATCGTGCTCCATCCGGATCACAGTCCGCGAGAGCAAATCGTGTTGCTCGCCTGCCAGAGCCCCAGACGAGGGTGCGTCGACCATCGCTGCCACAAACACCGAGGGTACTACTCACCCTTCCACCTCGCAAACCTGACCTGCCGCATTATTAAACTCAGAACTGCAGCAGATTCAAACGAGGAGAGCTAGTGAGGCTAGTGTAACAACTTCGAGAGGGACCTACATGAAATATCCTCCAGTCTCATTCACAACCTGATTTAACTTATGCACAGAATACAACCTCTGAGTCCACATGACTGATACGGTCTTCACGTAGAAGGTGACGATGTTGACTACAGTCGACCACCGATCCATGAAATCCTGCTTCTATGGGATTATAATAGGTTTGTGAGTGCAGGTGGTGCACTATTTCCTAGGCACAACCCCACTCTCCTCGGTCCATCCTTCGCGGCAGTGCACTGAACTTTATAGGGACTTGGCGGTGGATTCAAGACAGGAACGGCGATCAGGCTTTGAATGGATAGATGTTCATCTTGCGGTTAGACTTTTTGGGTAGATGAAATCAGGGCGAAGATTTCTTTTGTGTTGAATGTAAATCATGGCTAATGTCCATCCTTGTCTTTTGGAGCAGTAAGTTTAGACCAATATCATGTTGTGGTCCATGATTTTTTCTCTATGCAATGGATTTGTTGATGTTATTACGAATAATAATAATAATATTTATATATATATATATATATATATATATATATTTTTGATAACTGGAATTTGTATTAATAACTTCCTCAATTAAAATAAGTAATTGAGTTGTCGTGAGCTTTTGTACTTATATTCTTGGCCATGTAAGACACAATAATAGAATATATCGGTGTACGAAACAAGTACTATAATTTCTTATAAGTACATAACGTAATTTTTTTTTATTTACATGAGTTATATGTAAATTTATTTAATTAGTTAGTGTAAATTAAATGAAACAAATAGAAATATATCTGTTTGCAACCATAGTACAAATATCATAACTTTTGATATTTTAGTTCTCTAAATATCTAAAAGCACCTTCTAAAAGCAATTAAAAGCAAACTAAAAGCACCTTCTTTTTACTTAAACAAAATATACTATTTACATCCACGTTTAAGTTTAAAAGTGCTAGTTATTTTTACATTAGTAAACCATGCTATCAATGCAACCATGGGCAACCTCACTTGATACACATTCAATGCATCATCGATTTGCATATTAACATGATAAAGAGGTTACCACAAAGGGATTTGCAATGAGAGGGTATGCAAGCAAGAATAATCTCCTTGAGACCACCAAACGGCTTCAGTTACAAGGATATTCTTGGGTCTGGATCTGGTTAAGGTGAGGGTATAATATGTTAGTTCCATATTCTATACCAACTGGTATAAGCTTCCCATTCGCTCTTATGTCATCTGAAAACAAACCAAATGGCAATGGGTGAACCACTCTGATGCAAACAATTACGTCCCTGTTAAAAAGTGAAGAAAAAACATCTACGCACTGTACTAGGTCCGATGACAGTGAAGGACTGAAGATTATAACTGATGTGCCAAGATTGATTTGATCGCGAATTCCTGAAGGTGGGTATAATATTGGCTAGATGTAGACGGTGCCATATTCAATTTGGAACAATTCTCACTCCAATCAAGCTGGACAAACACGAAACACAACGATGTGAATACCATGCAACTCGACTCTACGTGCCCTGGATTCTAGAGCTCACAGACAAAGCCCAAATATTTCAGCTCAGCTACCACACGTCCAAGGTCTGACAGAACCACCTAAAGGTTTGAAGCTTATTGCTTCGAACTGTATGCACTCATCTAAGGCTGTGAATATTCTAGTATCCAATCAGCTCCCTAAGCATTCCACCTCATCCAACTTCTTCCAAACAATTTTCAAACAACTACGTATCAGATAGGGTTAAATGTGGGTTTTGAATGGCCCGACCCTTACCCAGATTACCTCATGTATTCCAAAGCTATGACCTTGAATCAATAATTTCTGCATATTCCGAGCGATAATTAATTTGTACACTCTTCTACCACCTTCACAAAATATCAATCCTACGATCTAAGGTGCATTTCTGTTATGATGCTCCTGAAAACCATAGAAGTCAATTGTTTCCATCATTTGAGTCGCTTTATTTTCTTCGCGTACTCTTTCACTGATGGACCGTTTTTCCACGGAGCAAACGCCCGTGTTATTCTCTCGAAAACCCTCGCCTTCTCTATTACCCCCTCTCCACTCTTGTGACTCTGTTGTGAAAGTGCAAACAGCACCCGATTAACATGTTCTTCAATCTCCAAATCGTAAACCTCCTCGAACACCTGCTCACAAAACGGCCAACCATGACCTGATAATCTTCAATAACAAACCTTAACGAATCATCCGCAAGCAAATGAATAATGAAATAGCTTTTTAGAAAAAGTCGGGAAAGATGAGTGGAGATTCACCTTTTGGAGCAAAGCAACTGCTGTAATGTGCGGAGATGATGCTCGTGAAACTACGTTGATTGCCAAGATGCCACCTTCTACAAGGGCTTCCTTTGCGGATCTCAAGAAAGGCTCCTCCAAAAACTCCCCAGGCGGACAGCTCAGCCCCGTGCTGGAATTGCGCGCACAAAAATAAAAGTCAAATTAACTAAAGACAGACCCGACCAGAATGTAAACCTACCTCACTGAATCCACAGACCACAGCCACAAGTTGCTTTTCCGACAATTCTGTGGATTCCACTTTGGTTTACGTTTGAATTCCAGTCGATCCCCTACTGAGTTGGGTATGTTGTAAGCATGAAAGCATATGAGCATTGGAACATTAGGAGGTTTTCCAACGGGAGCGGTTGGCAAGACACAACGCCCACCTGGGATCCTCAGAATCAGCATCAATAATTAGGATATGCAGCTTTTCTTGCATGTTGCTACTTCCGCCACTATGACCATAAATTTCATACGCATGCAAAGGGGGTCTCGCAACTTCTGCAAGTAAAACTTTGGAGGTAACTTCGCCACCCACTGAGGTATGAGAAGACTTCGTAGATGGTAGATCACCCAGAGGATTCTTTCCACTCGTAGAGTCTTGACGTAGCGAAATAGACGTGTTTCTTGCGATTGCACTAACAGCTTCAACTCCATCAGCAATGCAAAGCTGCGCAAACACATCAATTAACTCAAATTTCGATCGGCAAACACACCAAAATCTTTAAACAAATAAGAGGTGATTCCAAATAGTTCCACAAAAAGTTCCACATCATGTTCATGTGAACGTCAAAGTTCCCTCCCAACTCCAGCAATTGCTTAAGGTAATTGCTGCTGCCAACAGAGAATAATTTCATGACAAGTTTCGACTGTGAACATTCGGCTGCCTTAAAGGTTCTTCTGAATATACCTGCATGCGTTCGGTTTCCACGAACCCGAAGTGACGCTTTGCCACATCACCCACTACTCCATCAAGTTCAACAACCTAAGCGATGTGCAAGAACATTTTCAGATACGACAGTACAAAAGAACTTGAACAAGAAACATCAAGTAGAGTACTCGATAACTATTTCAGTGAGCAAGATAGACGAAAAAACTACATCAGCCAAGCTCAGACGGGCACAAGAGAAGTTTAGCAGGAAGCAAACAGCATCTGTACGCTCACTTCAGCCCACGATGGCTACCGGAGGAACCTGGCAAACATGATAATACCCACCTATGTATAGCAAGGACTGATAAAATTTCAAAAATAAAGTAGTCTGAAAAATGTCACTTCAAACACCTGGATTGTATTAACTGGGATATGGTTGTGAACAAACATAGGTAATAGCCCTGCTCCAAGACCAACGATCATCGCCCTTATCTACACGTCCCACATTCAGCAGAGATCGGACCATCAAACAAAGATTCAACCACCTTCATCTGAGAACCTGAAATCGTGTCTACAACCTTGAGGTTTTACTTCTAGAGAGGAATACAGTTCTCTGGAACAGCCAATAATTGCAAGTGCAGAAGCATACTGCCGAAACACTCACCTGACGAAGATGAACCGTAGCATTCAGCTGACAACAGGGCGACTAATACTCAATTACGGAAACCTAGGATATGCAGTGACAACTCATATGGAAGAGAATCAATTTGATAGATGTTTTCAAGCACAGCAGAGATAATGATACGAATTCATACTGGCTCTTTTGCAGATATCCACTGCTCTAAATTGTGAGCATTCAGACAGAGTCCAGATATCATCCCTGCATGATACTCACTTGACAAGTAACTAAAGTCAACCCTTAGTTCTTCATCACCTGCAACAAGGCGTTTTTGTCAATAGTCACTACATTACGATGCACTTCCATCCAAATTCAACTGTAGACAGATCGAAATATGACCCTATAACCCAATGTGCATCCCAACTGACATTCTCAAGACTTCTTACAAAAAGCAGTAACGTCCCCAATGCACACGGTGCAGTATGTAAGAATCAACAATTCCGCAATCAAGTTCTTAAGAACAAAGCGTGAGAATTTAACAGAAAATGTTGCTTACTTGTACACCAACCTAATGACATGCGATCTAGCGAACGTAATATCACGCACCTGGATATGAACTCAAAATGAGATCCCTCATCTTGTGCCTAGACTTTTTCTTCTTTCCGTTAGGCCGCCTCGCGATATCAACCACATTCTTCGACCGAGCGCGCTCTTTGCTGTTGCGCTCGACAGGTATCAAGGAAGCCTCTGACTGTATCAAATTAGGGTTCCTACGGAAAACAAGGCGCCGGTACTGCTTCGGCTTTGATGCTTCAGCTCGTCTGGAAAGTGAATCTTCTGTTAAAAGGACAACCTCCTCCACATGTATGATGCCGGTCACAGGGGACTCAATCTGCACCACACTCAGCCATTGCTCTATGCATCACCTACTGCGGCAAGTAGATAATAGCAACTAAGTTGATAGGGTACATTGAATCGTACATACTAAACAGAACGTTAGTCTAGATCACTAACCTCCTCCAGTAGAATCCTCTCACTTAGAGCATCATTAGTAGTCATATACCTGAGAAGAATTTACACAATCTGTAAATTAAGACATCAGCATATTGGTTACACAGCAAAAATCTAGACTAGACTCAAAAGCTTGTAAAGTACTCATAAGGGTTCCCAATGTTTGGTAAAAACTTACGGAATTGTATCTGATTCCCGACAGTCCAAGGGTAACAAGTGCTTGATCGAAGGTGACAACACTTGCTGCACGTGGAGCATCCCAGAAATAAGTGAGTCGTCATCAAAGCCCAACAGAATAATAGCAAACCAATTCTGGTTCCACAATAAAAATTTCAAAACGTAAAAATAAAATAAAACGAATATACTTTCATCAATTGTGCTAAGAAAGAAAGGCACTGCAATGACCAGACCTTATCGAAACTATCAGCCAAGTCAACCTGAAGTACAAACGCGATACCTAACCAGAGACAGATTTAATTAAGTGTACCTTAATGTACTCCATATCTGTCTGCTGCGCATCCAAAGTGACCTGCAATCCGCACCCAAACAGGATACTTAAATATTCAGTCAGTAACATAAACGAAGCAGAAAACGCACATTTTTTTTGTTAATGTAATGGCACTGCGGGAAGTCATTGACTGATCAAAACTGAAATGAACACAACCAAAAAAGCACACAGCCGACACAGGTTGAAACGAGTAACAAGATCAGTTGAAGTATTGTTCTACCAAGATTAAGCGGCCTGCTTGTGCTGTCTCTATGACCTGCCATTGCCCTTCTTCAGATGAAAATAGCCATTCATGTGCTCGGCTCTGTGAGCGACACCACAAAATGAAATTCAAAAGTCATCACCACATGATTACGTCTGCAGGTTCTTCCTATCAGTACACCACGTTTTGGATGACAATAGACAAGATTACAAAATCACCTTAGGCACTAAGAATACACCACAACGTATGGCCGGTGGCTCTGCATCAGGTTTAGCATCCAGAACTACTGTTGGATAAAGTCCGCCCAGCGTCAGGGGTGTCCTCCGACCCTGGTGAAGTTGACCAAAAACGTCCGCAGTGTCAATTAACCCTCCTTCACTGCGTAACCTGTTCTCCTCTTTGACAGCATCCAATACCAGTTGCATCTGCAGATCCAGATACTAGGGCATTTGAGTAATGTTTTTAGACCCAGTTCAATCAATTTTTGGGTCACGTTATTAACTATCATAAGCACATCATGCTCGTTCCAGAATAGAACGAATTGTCAACATAGTCTTAGAAAGTACAGACTCAACAAAACTTAATAACTCAGTCCAAAAACAAAGAAAAATACTGTGCAAGTCCAAAATTTCTACCAGGTCTGCTAAGACGCATTTCATGTGCATTCAAATGTATTTTAAAATTTAACATAGAATATGATTACACCCCTACGAAGCAGATTGGACTCGTGTCACCCACTAGGCCACGAAACATTCGAATAGGAATAGATGGAACATCTGATTCATCGAGGACGGTTCAGTAGATGACTTCACAAAATAGAGTACACGTGATCTATACGTGCATAACAAGCCAGTCACCGCAACATTGCGGCTTCTACTAAACTCCCCTGCTGTACTTCAAACAGACAGTTCAGTTGCTTCGAATGCTTCTAATCATTTAATCTTTATAGCAGAGCATGATGGGATATGCACCTGAGATTCAGTACAAGGATTCTGACTATTTCCAAAGAAGCACTTGACTGGAGCTAAATCTTCTGCACTGTTCTTTATCGCGTAGAACAGGTATGGTTGCGACTGAGGATTGGAATTATTTGACACCAGCAAAATTTTGTGTACATTGAGCAGCCAACCTTGCCTGAAAGTCTGCAGCAACAACCCTACACCATCACATCCGCCAAAAACACCAACTCTAAGTACAAGACTAGTGCCTATCAATCGATGCATAGAAAGCCAAGATTAAAATGGATGAAGTCGCCTGAAGATGATGATTAGACACAACAATCGAACTCGAATGAATGAACAAAGGATGGATCAAAAACTTGATAATTCTTTAATGAAATCAAGATGATAGTAGTGAAGAATAGTATAAAAGACAAAACAGCAGTTCACATAAAGGGAGAACCAAACGTAACTTCAACAACGAAGAACAAAATGAAGTAGAAAATGAAAGTTTAAGGAAACTGAGAACAGGACAGAAATATTTCAAAAAGGTTGGGACTGTGGCAAGCTGAAGTTTACGTATAAAGCACTAGTTTTGAGCAGAACATCAACATTAAAAACATATGAACCAAAAAAACAAAATACAAAAAAAAACAAAACAAAAAAAACAAAACAAAAAAAAAACAAAACAAAACAAAACAAAACAAAACAAAAAAACAAAAAGGTAGAAAGCTACCTAAAACATTGACATGAGCCTGTGTTACACATGCATACTTTCCACCTGGTCGAAGTACACGCTTGACCTGTCAAATACCGAAACCATGTCTCCAATGTCATAATGCCAGAAATACTATATCAATTCAAGATAAGGAATGAAAGAGAAACTGTAGAACAGGAAAATTGCCCCAACAGCCGCGGTATGGTTTTCTAGCTTCGAAGCAACAAATATAAAACTAGCTGATCAGAATGTATAAATTTAAAAAAAATCAAAAAAGGGTTCGAGTTCATGACAAACACGGCAGAAAGATCTGGAACTTGAATGTGGTATGCAGGAACATTTCGTGACAGTTCGATGATACATAAACATTTGGATATTAATAACGGAACTCGAAAGAAACACAGAACCGATGAAGAAGCAGACCACACATGTCAAAGCATTCACGGACTCATGAGGAATGCAGATGTACTGAAATACGTACCTCTGACAAGTAGCTTGTAGCTTCTAGTGAGATATCCAATACTTCTCCCATCAAGGCGTCCAAACTGCCCTTGTCCACGACCACGTCGAAACATGCATCTGCGAACTGCATCCACAAATTTCGTCATCCGGGGCAGATGGCCTTGGCGCTCACAATTGTGCGGCATGACCCTACACATCTCCAACAAATCAAGATAGACGATTCGCCTGGATTGAATGCCTAACGTTGTAAGGAAACTAATTTTCTAGAAACTAAAAGCCCCAAGGAGGTAGGAGTGTAGGAGATGCCAGAAATGATGTCTGAATCCGACCGCATTCTAAAGCGACGAGCATATACACAAAATTTTGAACAGTAAAGGGTAGAGCGAATTAAAACATCTGAGCACGAACGAGATATTACCATAAATTTCAAATCCAAGAGTACCTTCTTATAATCTGAATGCACTACTGACTAAACTAGGGAATGGCTAGCTTGATGGTTCTTGATGGAGCAAGAATTAACTCTCCATAATTCTGACGTAGCAACTCCTCTTTTTCCTCCTCGATTATTGCTCATTAATTTTAAACAAGAATTTGATACCGCAAAATCGGAGTCTGACAAACCTGTAAATGAGTCATGTCCATCACTAGCCAACGCATGTGAGGACGAGAGCGCACATGTAAACGCAGCATTTCGGCGATTACTACCGTCGAAAAATCGACATTGGTAATACTCTGCCAGCCTGCGTCGTACATGTGTACCGACAGCTCTGAATTGCCACAGCCTGAAATCAAAATCTGCACTGCACTTGTGGGCTTAGGCACCAGCATTGATATGTAACCCTGCAAATCCGTCCAGTTACAGCACCACTCGGCCGATCGCCCATTCTGTGATCGGTAGAAAGAATCCCAGTACTCCACTTGTCGACAACCGCTATGACTGCTGCGAAATTCCATCGAGTCTGGCACCGTAGCAGCTCCAAGTGCTTTGCCACTCAGCACGACAGAATGGGATGAGCAGCTGCCATGTCTCGACAGCTGTGCCCAACCTCGACAATGGATTTTTTTGCCACCTTGAATCGATTATACGCTGAAACGAAACTGGGATTTATCTAAGGGTTTACGGAGCACTCAGGCAGAATCGTCGAATTCGTCGGACACGAACTACGAGATACTCGAATAAAGGTATATATCCTAATTCACCCGCAAGAGGTTCTTGTAGAGCAATGATGGGGACAAAATCACTTCCACAAACATAATTGAGAAAATTTTCATCCTTCCCTAAGGCACACGGGTAACTTGATACAGAGGCACGGATTTGTAAGACCGAATCCTTTAAATCTCAACGTTTCAAGGATTATGAAGCGGTAGAAAGTGGATCCACTACGGTGCAGTAGAAGAAAACAACACGTGAGAAGGAGAAAAGCAGGAAGGTGTGCAAGGATTTAAAACCCAGAATCGCACTCTCCATAAATCATGACTGTGCGAAAAACTTGACAATCCAGACGAATGCACTCGGTACAACACAACGATTCGAAACACAAAATGTGCAGGGCAACACCCCTGCCGCACACACTTTCTACAAATTCGTATACCCCCGCAACTTCGGAGGGTCATCGTCCACCAGACCTCGCAACTCCATCCAACATTTGAGAAAACGAAACCCTCGGAGAGCTTGACCTGGACACTGCTGTAAGAGAAAAACAAGCGAAAAGGCGGGGGGGAGGGGGAGAGAGGGGCTAAGCGGCGCCTAGTAACCTCCACGATCACGTTCGCGGAGACATTAGGGGGGGCGGGGAAGGAATTGAACCCTACGCGGCTGCCAGCACCTCACACAGACACAAACATGAGGGGACAGGGATGGGGGGAGAGAAGAATTGAGGTCGAAGAATACCAAGAGTGGAAAAGGAAGAAGAATGAGAGTGGGAATGAGTAAAGGAATTGCAAACAGATCCGGGAAATAGTCAGGAGGAGGGAGGAGGAGGAGACGAGGGTGGCGGCCAAGAGCCACCATCACTGCCAACGCTAAAGGCTCGGGTCACAATGGCGAAAAAGTGGGATGTGGCATCCCCGCCCCCAGATTTGGAAACCCCGCACCCTCCTCGCTGCCCGCCCCGGCGTCTGCCCAAATTTCTGCCCTTCACAATTCGGTCACAAAACGTAAAAAAGTGGACAAATATTGTCGTATGAAATTCGTCTTTATCAAGAGCGAAAGTCATGATTACGTATGCGTTGGAATCTGAGTAAATTCCTTCACAATAATTAGGATTTCGTTAAAGAAATCATATTTCTTATTTAAGCTAAACGTTCTATAAAATTTGGAATGATTTTTTAATATAAAATTACTTCTAATTCAAGTTTTCACATGCATAATCTTACAAATGAAAGGATTTAAAATTTCGAGATGAAATTTGGATAACACAATTATAGTTTCTATAATTTCTTAAATTTGAAATAATTGGAAAAAGAAATATCTTACATTATTGTTGATTGAAAGATAAAAATGAAGCTCCAGGAGTAGTTAACAAAGTATAGAAGCACCTATTTGCTATTGAAATCAGCTATTCAATTTTGACAATTTTTTTTTAAATGAAAAAAATTTATATTATTTCATGTTATTGCTATATTTTGTTTTATTTCATTTAATTGTATTGTGACACAAAGATATGTCTTCTAATTAAGTAAATTCTTTCATATGTATTTGTGATTTGAATCAATGGGATGTAATTTATGTATTAAATTCTAAATATAGATTTGACATTTTAAAAACTCTTAAATTTTCTATTTTAATATAAAATAAATAATTTTTAAATTATTAAATCCAAATATTTGATAAAATACTTGGTTATATACATAAAATAATTTATTTATTTCATATCAATTATTTAGTAATATAAAATATATTATTATATGTTTTAAGAAATAAAAATTCATTTAAGTTGCAAACTCAATTGCACCAAAATAAATGGAGGCAGCATTGTATGGAACTTGTTATATGTTAGTGAAGTCCTAGATTGCAATACAAACCATATGATATTATTCAACACACTTCTTCTAGAAGTGAGATTTAGTTCTCTACTAAAATAAGACTTGACATTTCTTTGAAAGTAAGAAACTTATCTCTAAAAAGAAGTTTTGTAAAGATATATGTTGCCATTTGCTATGTAGAACAATATTCTAATCCAATCAGTCATTTCTCTACATATTACTTAATAAAATTATGTTTTGTATTCCAACGCTTTACACAACTATGGTTGGTGGATACTTAGCAATAGCAATAATGTTATAGCTACTCTCATAAATAAGAATTTTTTCCAACTTGAGAATGTCATAATTCTTAAATACTTTACAAAGCCACAAAGTATTACTTGTTGTAGCAGCCAAAGTTGCATACTTTTCCTTTGATAACAAAACAAAAACTAATGATTGTTTCTTGCTTGACCAAATAATAATTGTGCCACCCAATATAAATTCATAATCGCCTCTTGAATAATGGGTTGTCAAAATGAGAATATTTGCTTTAGAAAAAACATAGGATTTATGGCTATAATTAGATATGGTAAAATAATATCTTTTTATTCAAATGAATTCCACCATCTCATATTCATGATACTATGTGAGAGTTGTCACCTCTTCTTCATTCAATTAGTTGCCATAGCTCCATACTTCACTAATGGCTCTTTAAGGAGATACTTAGTTCATACATATGTATACCAAAGCTCACTTCTTAAAATTCTCTATAACATATTTTATAAGCAAACAAAGGCATTGTTTATATTAACACAAGGTGATTGACTCTTTTTTTATCCAAAAAAACACTACAATTTCATACTAGTTCTTCTTAGAGTAACTAAGAGATTTCTGAAAATCTTATAAAGAAAGAAACAAGTCCTCAAATATCAACTCAAAATTCAAACCTTATTATAAGAAAATCCTCGAAGAAAAAACTTGAAGTAAAATTATGAAGGAAAATACTAAAAAGTAGTTGAGTCTTTTTTTATTAAAAAATTCATTGCATCTTCATAATAACTCCTTTTAAATTAACTAAGGGCTTTCTAAAAATCTAACAAAGAGAGGAACCTTCTCTCAAAATCTCAAAATAAATACTAAACATACTATGAGAAAATTCCTAAAGAAAAATCCTAAAGATCAACTAGCTTTCTCTTTATTCAAAAATGCATTGCATCTTGATACTAACTTTCTTGTAGAAAATGAGGGCAATCTAAAAAGCTAAAAAAAGAGGAATTACTTTTTAAAATATCAAATTAAAATTCAAAATATACTTTGAAAAAATCTTCAAAGAAAAATCTTGAAGAGTAGTTGGCTCATTTTTTATCCAAAAAGGCACCACTTATACATACTAACTTCACCTTAGAATAAGAGAGAGCTTTCTAGAAAGCTTGTAAAAAGAAGAGAAATTCTTCAAAATCTTAAATCCAAACTCAAAATATACTTTGAGAAAACCTCCAAAGAAAAATCCTAAAGAGTGGTTGATTATTATTATTTTTTTTCCCAAAAAGGCACCACTAATTCATATTAATTCCTTTCTAAAAACTTATAAAGAGAAAAAAAAAAAAACTCTCTTAAATCTCAAATCCAAATTAAGAATACACTTTGAAAAAATTTCCAAAGAAAAATCTTGAAGAGTGGTTGTTTCTTTCTTTATCCAAAAAGGCACGACTACTTCATAGTAACTTTTGTAAAATTAAGTAAGAGCTTTTTGAAAAGCTTATAAAGAGAGAAAAAACTCTTCAAAATTTTAAATCCAAATCTTTATAATATTTTATGTTTTTATATATATAATACCATTTTCTAATACAACAATGTCTCCATACAACCTACTCCATTTACAATACTAAATGTACAAGTAAATTTCTTTCTTTGTCTTGATACTCTGACACCAATTTATTTTTTATCCTTACAAGTAACAAATTTTTTTTGATTGCTTGCTAATGTAAAATATATGAGTATATTATATATTGACTAAAGTGTTGACAAGAAAATATAATGTTGTATCTTATATCATTTGTAAGATAAAATAACAAACCTAAGGCCTTCTAATAAAGCTGTAAAACTTTTACATCTAAAGAATTGTGATGCTCATGCTTAATGAGATGACCTCATTCCATCAATGTAGAAATTTCTTTTGTCTTTTATTCCAAATTCTTTTAACTTTCAATATATACATTTAATTTGGCTCAAATTAATAGTATTATTCTTTTTATTTTATAAGAAATCAATGTAAAAAAAAAACTTAATTCATTGAGGTCTTTCATCTTTTAGTACTTTTGTAATTCATTCTAATATTTCACAAGGATTTCAAATTTCTTACCATCAATCAATGCATCATCAATATAAATAATTAGTATAAGGACATAATTATCAATGTATATTGTGTACAAACAAGGATTTGATTGTGAGCACTTCCAATTAAGATTTAATAAAGATTCATTTAAACTTTCATTTGATTTGTGTCCAAATTGTTCTAAGCAATACAAAATTTATAATAATTGTAGCATATTGCCTTTGTATTCAAGTCGAACTTCTACTCCTTATATAATCTTCATATAGATGTCTTTTTTCTTAAACTCACTATACAAATAAACTAAAATAATGACAAGTTTCAACATATTCTAATCAAGGATAGCAATAAGTATAACAAACATGTAAATTGTTATATAGCAAGAAATTGGTACAAAAGTCTCTAAATAATCAAGATTGTTTATTAAAGTGAAATCCTTTGCAAACAATCATGCTTTAAAATACTCAATAGAATCATTGCAAATAATCTTTTTTTAAAACTTTATTTCAAATCTACAACCTTCTTATCATTTGATAAAAATAAAAACTCCTATGTACCATGATTCTTTAAATAATCAAATTCTTCCTTCATAACATGACTCTATTCATTGTAAGAAAATAAGCTTATGGCTTACTTAAATTTTTTTGCTTTTGCATATTCATCAACATAAATAATATTTATTTTTTCAATTGATAAGTCATAATCTCCTTTAAAAAAAAATTGTTATTTTTCCAAGATAAACAATGCATCCTACTATTATTTATAATATTTTTTGGATCAATTCCACCTATATGACAATATCTTAATAGTAGAGCTTAAGTAATTTCATCCAATTCTAATTAATAAAATTCCACAAATTTTGTTGATATCAAATTTATCTCTTGTCAATTTTTTTTTTTACCAAATCCATAATGTACATGTGATCTTAAGGCTTGAAGTTTGTATATTTTTAATTCACATAGATGTTAAAGATCAAACAATTCAAACTTAATTTTATGATTCCTATATTTTCTACTCTTTTTTTTTAATTAGCAATTAGTTCAACAAGCAATTCAACTTTGTCATTAAAAAAAAATCATATCTTGGCTATGAATCATCTTTTTTCTCTTAACTAAGAAAATCTCATGCCTTTTTTTCATATTTGAATATTTAACAATAACATTCTTCTTTGTCTTTGCATCAAGCTTTTGACAATTTTTTATTTTTTTATTTTTTATATTTTTAATATATTTTTATTATTTTTATTATTTTTATTTTTTTATATGTAATACCAAGAAAGATAAAAAAAATGATAAGTATATTAAATAAAAGGTTTTTTTCCATAGAAAACTTCATGTGGTAACTTACCATCAAATCTTGCAAGTGGAACGTGATTGCAAGTCTAGGTCACAAGCTTGATAGCAAATATTCAATCTTGACATCATAACTTGGTATTCTTTAGGAGTATTTATAATCCTTCAAAGAGAGTTTCCATCAAATACTTTGTCATGCCAATAATCTAATGTATATATGCACGAGTAATCAAGTGCTAAATATCTTCAACTTTGAAGTGAGAATCAAACTTATAATTCAGGAATTCAAAGCCATCATCAAAGAAAAAAGTTTTTACATTTCTTTTGGTTTTTTTTATTGTGCCTTATATTTCCAAGTATTCTAAGCAACATATACCTAATCATTAAACTAAACAAATGTAAGGCTACAATAATCAAAGTATTTATTAATCCACATAGCTAACTATTTGGCACCACAAAAATTAATAGTATTACAATAAGCAAGATTAGATACTACTACATCTAAAATATCATTGGCATGAATGTGCATGTATAGAAAAGGCTAAGTAGGGGCCTTACCATTGCACAATTTGTATATATAAACATTATCCTTCTCATCTTAGATATTCAATCTTTAAAAACTATTCATTTTTTTTGCTTTCTGTACCATAGATATCAAAACATGTATTCATATGTGATGTTATTCAATGGGCATACTATCCAAAATAAACAAACTAAAAATAAGATGAACTTCTTCAATTAAACAAAGTTTAAAATAAGATTTATTGTTAAAAATATTTTATCTGAGTAACTTATAAAATAATAATAATAATAATAATAAAATCCTAAAATTTATATTATCATCTAATTTAAAATTGAATCTTTTCTTGCATGAGCTTGCGGCTTAAAAGAGAATGACACACAATCCAAACTCCCAACATATATTCATAACAAATCATGGGAATTTGTTTTCTATTGAGTCCAAAATTAAGAAGTGTATACTACTTAAGCCTTACGATTTGCTAATCTTGCAATTGTAGCATTAAAGCTGATAGTTGCAATTTTATTACAATAAAAAAGATTTAACATGTCTTCAAGAATGTGTAAATCCATTATCCTTTCAAAACAAATAAAATGACGTAAAAAAAATTCACATTTCAAAAAAAAAAAACAAACAAACAAACAAAAATGAACTTAAAGACTCACATATGGAATCTATAAGAAATATAATAAGCCAATTTAATATAAAAAGAATAAGTATGTCAAGTAAAATTCAACAATGATTATATAATAGATTAAATAAGAAATCAAAACTAAATATAAATGGCATGTTCTTACTTATTATAAACAATATAAGTCTTTCATTTCTATTAGAAAAATTAGTAGTAGCAAAGACTATTATATCCAAACCACAATGCAAGGTGAAAGTACACAACACAAACAACAAAAAAATGTCTCTCTTTTAATCATATAAGATAGTGAAATATTCCAAGAGAAGACAAATTATACTTCTTTTTATAGATATAAATACTAATTAAGAATTTAAGGTGGAAAAAATCTAAGATTCAAGGCAACACAAACTTGCATTAAAATATCAAATTCATTGGCACAAATATGATATAAGTGAATGCATATGAGAGCTAATCAAAAAACTTGCAAATATAGTAAAGAAGATTAAAACTTTTCATCAAAGACATCCATCGAAACTAAGTTGAAAAAATAAGCAATTACTTACTATAAAAAATAGAATATTCAAATACATCCTATCTTCTATCTTTTACTATGGTTTATTTATATTTGTGAAAGTAAAAAAATCAAAAATCAAAAACCAACACATCAACTCAAGAATTATCCTTTGATGCTTTATCAAATGAGAAATTATAATTGTCAAAGCCTATAATACAATGTAATAGAAATAAAGACCCTCAACAATAACACATTTATTTTCAAACATGTGGCAAGATACAATGCATTTGGTATCACAACCTAAGAAGAGAATACCATTTTTTAGTCATATTATTAGCAATAGAAATGACTCATAATATTATTATAAATGTTTTGTTTAAAAGAAATTAGGGAGACCTCAATACTAAATCAAGTATCGGAGTCATCTTTTTTGCCCAAGTATGGAATACTATCAATGATTGGGGATCCTATCAACAACCTTCAAAACAAACAAAAATCAAAATAGGTGAAAAATATAGATTGACACATCTTGGTCTTCTTCAACATGTGATTAAAGTTTCTTATGGAACTCATCATTAAAAGAGGGGGGAATATTATCAACCTCATCAAGCATAAAAAAAATAAAAATAAAAAAATAAATCCAACTATATGTGCCTAAAACATGAAGGGTGCACATTGAGCAATTAAGTGCTTTCGTTGCTAAAACAATGTCACTCCTGCAATTTAATACAAGCATAGGCAGAACGTTTCAGAAGTTGGTGACTTCTGTCGACAGAGAAACACATGGAGGAAGAGAAAAACACCCTGCTGTCGGCACTCCAAGGAAATCAACGCTGCTGCAAATCTCATGTGCTATATGTATATATATATATATATATATATATCTCCTTGGCCAAAAGTTGAGAATTCTCTGCAAAGTTCTCTCGTCTCCTCCGATAACATGTGAACCAATTTTGCTGCACCCAGTGACACTCGAAATGGGAGAAACCCTGAGTTGGATGGACGGACGGATGGATGTGTAGGGATGGAAAGAGCCTCTGCGCACATCCATCCAAGTGCCGTGGTAGAGGGGGAGGGGTGCTGGTTGCGGCTAGAAGAAGCGGCGGTGTGCCAGGAGAGGGAGGGAGGAAGAAAGAGGAAATAGGAGGGTGATGAAGACCCACGCAGTTAGTTAGTTAGTTCCCTTGCAGAAAAACAGAAAGAAAGAAACACATGCCTGCCGCCGCCGCCGCAGCAGCAGCAACGCAGAAACATAGAAACGGGCCTTGCTTGGTTCTGTGCACCCTAACGAAACGAAGGGGGCTCGGGAAGGGAAGGGCAGAGGGCAGGGCGGGGCAGGGAACGGAAAGGAAAGGCAGTCAAAGGCAAAGAAAGGCACAGGCACAGGGAAGGGAACGGAGCCCTGACTTAATAGAACAGGCGGGGAGGGAGGGCCCAGGCCTGATCTTTCCGTCGGTGTGCAGCAGTTCCTCCCTTCCTTCCCGATTTCTGTCATCACTACTTTTCTCCTCCTCCTCCCTCCTCTTTGCAAACCCTAGGAGCCACGATCCGGGGGTGCATTGACCCAAATTCTCGGGCTCGTCGATCCTCGGTGAAGCTCTTCGGCTGCTTCGTCCTAATTTCCATCTCGGACTTGGTGATTTTCCAATGCCCCCTGGATTTTCCACCCCGTCTGCTTCACGCTAACCCTAGCTCTGGTTCTGAGTTCTTCGCATCGCTTCCATTGCTGCAGCTACCATGGCTGCTGCCACGCTCTGCGAGTCCGGCTTGGAGGAGGGCGAGTACGAGAGCGACAGTGATGGAACGTCTGCCCTCGCATTGCGACGCCGTGAGGCCAGCGACGACGAGGAGCGTGAAGTGCCTGCATCTTCGTCGCACCACTCCTTCTCTGACGAAGACGCCGAGGAGGGCGAGGGCACGCCTCCCGACGACGGGGAGGATGACGACGAGGAGAAGGAGGGTGCTGCTCTACTGCGACGCAGGCGCTTGGTGAGTGAGGAGGAGGACGACCACGAGGGTTTGCATCATCAGGAGGGCGGGAGCAGAAAAAGTGCAGACAAAGAGGATGGTTCGCAGGGCTCTGCTGCCGCGGGCACCACCGACGGCAAAGAGGCTGGCGAAGAGGATAAAAAGGAGGCGGAGCCCTTCGTTGTTCCTACGGCGGGGGCATTTTACATGCACGACGATCGCTCTCGCGGAGTTGGTGGAGCTCGTCCCAGGTAAATCAGTATGCTCAAGCCAGCAGTTGCTTTTTCGTCCGTCCTAATGGCCATCTTTCTGCCCGTGTTTGGTGTTTGGTTGTGTTTTTTTCTTCTTCTTCTTCTTTCACCGCACTCGCCGTCGCTGCTGAGGAGCATGTCAACTACGATCGCCCCGCAATTTGCCAAGCTTCAGTCAGCATATTGCCGGGTTTCGTCAATATGAAATCTCGCGGCTTTTTGGTGACGAGAGTGGTTGTTAGTGATTTGGGGTTGGGGTGAGAGCCGTGTCCTTCTCTGGTAAGAGGCGCGCACGCTTTTCCCTTTGCTGTACGCATTCGGCTTCGAATGACCGAAAGTATCCCAGCAGAGTGATCCTCTTCGCGTGATAGATTTCCATGAATCGTGATCCGGAGTCGTTTCAGGATTACATCTGTGCTGGGTTATTGGCTTGTCAAACTATAGTCAGAGGAGAGGAAGCTAGGGCATGATTGAGGGAAAAGGGGGTTAAGCAGACAGGGAGGCAGAACCAAATGGCAAGGGACTTGAACTCTGAGTCGTCGTAGGTGCAGCTTTCACGGGGCAAGCGTGGTCTATCGGGTTCCAGACAAGAAACGGGATTATTGTGGGCTTGGGCGAATACCGTGTGATCACAGGATATTGAGTGATTCAAATTTTCGGACAGTTACTCCCCGTGTATGGCAAGTGCAGTGCATTGTAGGTGTTGTGTCAAGGTTGAGAGAGTGTTTAATGGGCCAAGGAATGCAGGCGGGGCGTAGGAGGCAGCCGGAAGCTCTGGGAAGCCAAGGATGAGAAGCCATGGGTACATGATTTATTTGAGGAACTCAATGTGCGCGATGATAGTTACAGCGATGAAGGGCTGTCAAGAGGCGGACGCGGAAGAAGTCGAGGCAGGGGGCGCGTCAATCGGGATCGAAACAGGGGGTGGGTAGGCAAGCTTGCCAGCGATTCGGAGGAGTTGAACGCGAGCCGTGCACGGCGTGGGCGAGGGAGGGGCCGGCCTGCAAGAAGTGAAGTTGTAGAACACAACAGACTGGAAGAATCAGCCCCGTCAACAAGTATGGGAACACACGACGGTGCAGGAAGCAGCAACGTCAGGGTACAGGATGAGAGCACAAAAGACGAGTCTTCAGCTCCTCCTCGGAAGGTTGTTGCGGGTTCACTGAATTCCGCTTCCCCACCTTTTTTCCCTTCAAGCGCCTTACAACCGAAATCAGTTGAAGTGGCAGGGTCTGTCCAGGTTAGCGCCAATCAAATCACTGGAGGACGGGATAGAGCGAGAAGACCAGGATCTCAAGTATCCGTGGCGAAAACAGGTAGCTCTGGAAGGGGGCCACAGGTTGGCGGAGAATTGCAGAGCAGCGCACATGATCAGCAGCCGGTCAAACCATCTACAGCTCAGACAAGTGAGAAGCACACTTAATCTTGTGGTGTTAGGGGGTCCATCCTTTGGGTACTAGGGAGTCTTGTTTGATCTATGAGTCTCTCGGAATCCGGAAGATAGTCAAACTTAAAATGAGCGATATGACTACCAGGAGCCTGAGAATTCGTGAAAGTTCAAGAGGTACTTAGTGTAGCCTGTAGATTACGGTCTTTGGGGTTGAAGAACGTGTTTTCGTGTGGTTCTTCTATAATTGGTTAGTAATCAGCATTTTGTAATTCTGGTAGATGTTTCAAACATGAAATAAAAGGTATTTCATGAATATTGACTGGCTTCACATCTTTTTACAGCCATCTTACAGTGAAATCGCAAGAATAGTCTATGCGTTAACAATCATTCGTGGTGGAAGCGTAGCTTGTTCTTGGTCATCAAACCTAGATCCCGTCATAACGAGTCACAACGCAAACATATCCAGAGAGTCGATTTTCAAGTGCTTTGCGCCTTATTCAAGGTTCTCAAGTGGGGCTCAAACATTCTGTGGCCGTGTTTTGTATTCCCGAGAGTTCTGGTAGACTCTGCCGGGGTTTGGACAAGTACTCGCGCATCACATACGGTTCGCTTGGGATCACAGGAGTCGCATAGGGTTTGCCGATAGTTATCAGGGTTCAAGGAGGTTCGCTAAAACTACACTGAAGTCAGGTGTCAATGTTGCAAGAATCTGGAGATGACTACCAAGGAACCGCATTCTAGCCAGTGAAGTGATGATCAACTGGTTCCTTATATTAGTTGAATTTGATTTCCTGCAGCAGCACCACCAGATGCAAGCAGTAGCAGTCAGGGACATGTCCTTTTACCTTCACTGGCCCAACAGTCGCAGGCCCAAGAAGCAGAAGCGCCTGGCCCAATTACTCAAGTTTCAGCTGGTTCCATTCCAGTTAATGTAGGGCAGTCTGCGCAATCTGGCAGACCTAAAAGTACCGGGGGTAGAGGGGGGACCACCCATGTGGTAGGAGGAAGAGGTGGATCGTTTGTGTATCATGGAGGTCCCGCTGCCGTAATGAACAATGGAGTGCAAAAGGTGGACCAAGGGTTCGCATCTCCAATCCCTGCCGTCGGACCTGGTCAGTACTTCAATTTATGATCTGTTTACATGTCCCTATTTTTGTCGAGTTCCACTAATGTTCTACCTTCCGTCACTACTTCCAGTAGGTGGTGCATACGTGCACAGAGTGCGTTCACCGTAATATTAGTTGCTACTAGTTTGGGTGCAGATGTTGAATAATAACAGCACATAGTAATGTTGTAGTTGCAGTTCAATATGGAGGTCATCCGTCTGCTGGCATAGCTCTTCCAGCTGTGGGTATGGCGATGCCAAACTACACTAGTCAACCGCAGTTTGGATTTCCCAACTCCGAAGTAACATGGTATGGATCAAGTTTTGTCTTTTTTTCCTGTTTGGTTTTATTCGTATGCATGTATATTTGTTTAAAGTGGTGTTATGTTGGATTGACCGGTGTTTTGCATGGTTGAGTTTGTAATTAGTTATCATTGATCATATGGGTGTTTGATGGATCTCTATGATAGCTTATGTTAGGCATGTCTGTTATTTTTGCGGTCTTTTTCTTCCTCTTAATCTTTGTTTATCGAAAATAACTTATGCTTATGTTGTTTTTCTTGGTCCAAATTCTGGTATACTCTTTAGACCTGTCGAGGATGGTATGCTGCTATATGTCTGGTGGCATACGTTTCCGTCCAAAGTCACAGGCGATGCTGGCATGTGGATGTGCTATGGCTATCATTTTCTGTGGCCGCAATCTGATTGTGATCTTGGCAACACTTTCTTTGCTAAGGAAGGTTGAATTTGTTCATCTCGAGCAGGATACCGGTACTGGCTGGAGGTGGGACATTAGGTGCTGGCTATGCAACACCGTACATGACCATGGAGGGAACACCTTCACCAATATATTTCAACCAGCCAGCCTCCTTCCGTCCAGCTGGGTCAGTTTTTGTGTTTGGGGATATCGTTCAATCTTATTCTTGAGTTGTTTGCATGAATGTATCGTGTAGGAGTTGAATAGCATCTTCGCATCAGTTTTCAGATGCAGCATGTCGTTGATGATGAAACGATTATGTTAACCGAAGTCAAAGAGACCTTTTGCCATTGGTGGCGAACTTACACTCTAGGTGAAGATGAGTGGGCTTGTGTTGTCGAGCCATTACGTGTACTAACTTCAGCCTGACTCCACCAGCTGGCTTCAGTGTTATAACATGCGGAAACGTGTTTGTTCTCACAGAAGAGGGATAAGCGGTGCAAAGCCAAGTGGTTTGTGGAAACCACCTCCTAATCAAGGTTGATATACTGCCTGAACACTTTGTTTTCTGCTAGTGTATGGGAGTGAACCCAAGCGGCAGGGCTCTCTATGAAGGACACCTAGCGTTCAGTTTCTTTTGTTTCTTCTGTCCACACTGCATGTTCTAGGATATCGAGGTTTGAACAAGCACATGGACACTGTGGGGATAAGGTTGCAGTACCCTCAACACGTGTGTATATGTAAGCTTTTATCCCGTTTTGCAGAACTAGGTCCTGACGAGTTTGGGCATCGCCAGAATAAAGCACGCAGGTTCGATCGCACCCAATTTCTCAGATTGCTATCTTGGCAGTAAAGAACATGTTGCTGGGAAGTTGATTCACTAACGCATGTGTACTCACTCGCCCGCCCACACAGTCGTCTTATCTATTGGGTTTTGCCAAGATCAAAGTGCTAATAATGGTGTAGAATGTCGCAGGGATCGTCCAAGTTTTCGTCGAGTTCTCTGCCTGTCAGAATCACTGTACTTCTTTTCTGGATTGTAACTGTTTGTGCGACGGATATGTGCAGATATTCAGAGATGAGTTTCGGGCATTGACGATGTGGAAGAAGACGCTGCACACTGTTTATGTACTTGGGAATGTGATCGTAGAAACGTTCTGTAATGATTCATCACATTTTACGGTTCCATGGGCTTGTTCCGGAATGCTTGCAACAGATTGCAAGGTCCCAGATTGAGCTGTGAACTGCAGGAGTTGTGTCCTCTGTAATATTGCAGCGAGGACAGCAGATCTGACAGTATCGTCGGGGCTACTCGGTGTTGTTTACAATGGACCGCTAGATGGGGCTTGTTCACAGAGAGAGAGCGATTATTCACTTTGTATTCACGTCCTGGTGATAAAGTTATAATTCGCTCCTTCCAAAGGGCCTCACTCAAACCGATTTTCTGCCTATGGAGTTGCCGAGCTAGATTTGGTTTACTGCAGTCGCGTCCGAGCTGATGTTAGCTGCCAACACTCGGATATTTGAGTGTTGGTGCGAGGTTGAGCGTTGGTGTGTGGATTTATGTTTTTGTACATGATGGTGGTCACACATGAATCTGAATTTATCCACGCATATGATGCTGGCACTGAATAGACCTGCTGTGGGCCACTTTTGTAGGGCTTTAGTGTTTTGCTGTATTGATATAGAATCTAGGTATGAAACTTCAATGTGTTTTTTTTTTCTATATAAATATAGTTGGCCAGTAATTTAGTTAGACACAAGATATGGATGTGCAAAGCAAGCGTAACGTAAGTATTTTTTCTACGCCAAACTTCATCACCTTGGCCTCCTGTTCAAATGTGAGACACTGTTCAAGTTTTGAGTTTATCGCAAACACAGCAGTGAATTAGTATGTTCAAGCTAGCACTTGCTTATTAAGCAAAATTTTCATTAAAAAACCAAACTAGCTATACTATGTTAAAGAACGTTGAGTAGTGGACTTAGGTTTTTCTACAATATATGCACAATATGTCTTGACATTGACATGTCTTTTCTTATTTGAGGAGGATTTGAAATGTTTAATATGAACTTGCATTGGTTATGACTTTAAGGAATTGATTTTTGAAAATTTAGAAGTATTGCCATGACTTGAGTTACCCCTCTTCAACCAAATCATTGTTGTTAGCCTCTTATCACAAGTGAATTGACAAGTGTCTCACATTTGAACAGGAGGCCAAGGTGATGAAGTTTGGCGTAGAAAAAATACTTACGTTACGCTTGCTTTGCACATCCATATCTTGTGTCTAACTAAATTACTGGCCAACTATATTTATATAGAAAAAAAAAACACATTGAAGTTTCATACCTAGATTCTATATCAATACAGCAAAACACTAAAGCCCTACAAAAGTGGCCCACAGCAGGTCTATTCAGTGCCAGCATCATATGCGTGGATAAATTCAGATTCATGTGTGACCACCATCATGTACAAAAACATAAATCCACACACCAACGCTCAACCTCGCACCAACACTCAAATATCCGAGTGTTGGCAGCTAACATCAGCTCGGACGCGACTGCAGTAAACCAAATCTAGCTCGGCAACTCCATAGGCAGAAAATCGGTTTGAGTGAGGCCCTTTGGAAGGAGCGAATTATAACTTTATCACCAGGACGTGAATACAAAGTGAATAATCGCTCTCTCTCTGTGAACAAGCCCCATCTAGCGGTCCATTGTAAACAACACCGAGTAGCCCCGACGATACTGTCAGATCTGCTGTCCTCGCTGCAATATTACAGAGGACACAACTCCTGCAGTTCACAGCTCAATCTGGGACCTTGCAATCTGTTGCAAGCATTCCGGAACAAGCCCATGGAACCGTAAAATGTGATGAATCATTACAGAACGTTTCTACGATCACATTCCCAAGTACATAAACAGTGTGCAGCGTCTTCTTCCACATCGTCAATGCCCGAAACTCATCTCTGAATATCTGCACATATCCGTCGCACAAACAGTTACAATCCAGAAAAGAAGTACAGTGATTCTGACAGGCAGAGAACTCGACGAAAACTTGGACGATCCCTGCGACATTCTACACCATTATTAGCACTTTGATCTTGGCAAAACCCAATAGATAAGACGACTGTGTGGGCGGGCGAGTGAGTACACATGCGTTAGTGAATCAACTTCCCAGCAACATGTTCTTTACTGCCAAGATAGCAATCTGAGAAATTGGGTGCGATCGAACCTGCGTGCTTTATTCTGGCGATGCCCAAACTCGTCAGGACCTAGTTCTGCAAAACGGGATAAAAGCTTACATATACACACGTGTTGAGGGTACTGCAACCTTATCCCCACAGTGTCCATGTGCTTGTTCAAACCTCGATATCCTAGAACATGCAGTGTGGACAGAAGAAACAAAAGAAACTGAACGCTAGGTGTCCTTCATAGAGAGCCCTGCCGCTTGGGTTCACTCCCATACACTAGCAGAAAACAAAGTGTTCAGGCAGTATATCAACCTTGATTAGGAGGTGGTTTCCACAAACCACTTGGCTTTGCACCGCTTATCCCTCTTCTGTGAGAACAAACACGTTTCCGCATGTTATAACACTGAAGCCAGCTGGTGGAGTCAGGCTGAAGTTAGTACACGTAATGGCTCGACAACACAAGCCCACTCATCTTCACCTAGAGTGTAAGTTCGCCACCAATGGCAAAAGGTCTCTTTGACTTCGGTTAACATAATCGTTTCATCATCAACGACATGCTGCATCTGAAAACTGATGCGAAGATGCTATTCAACTCCTACACGATACATTCATGCAAACAACTCAAGAATAAGATTGAACGATATCCCCAAACACAAAAACTGACCCAGCTGGACGGAAGGAGGCTGGCTGGTTGAAATATATTGGTGAAGGTGTTCCCTCCATGGTCATGTACGGTGTTGCATAGCCAGCACCTAATGTCCCACCTCCAGCCAGTACCGGTATCCTGCTCGAGATGAACAAATTCAACCTTCCTTAGCAAAGAAAGTGTTCCAAGATCACAATCAGATGCGGCCACAGAAAATGATAGCCATAGCACATCCACATGCCAGCATCGCCTGTGACTTTGGACCCCGCTACAAT